TTAATTATTTATTATTTAATATTATGCATTTAACCACTGATGCAGACCATGGAATTGCTGTTTATATCAAGGCAACTTACAAATACATGTATTATTTCTAACTTGCATCTCTCTATACAGAAACTCCAGACAGCTCAGATTCTGGACTGGGAGCACAAGGGGATGGCATGAAGGATTCATCACCAAGTGCAGTAGCTAATCCTAGCCTTTCAGCTAATGATGATTTCAAATCACATGAGCTATCCAATCTTCGCCTGGAGAATCAGCTGCTGCGGAACGAAGTTCAATCTTTAAATCAAGAAATGGCTTCATTAATTCAGAGGTCCAAAGAAACACAAGAAGGTACTGTGGTTTAGTAACTCCGCTGTAACATATTACTAAAATGCTAGTGAACTAGAAAACAATGCTATTTCTATGTTAGTATTTTGTATTTATAATTAAATCTTTCTAGTTAAATTTGCATGTATGACTTACCAAGCAAAATGATTCTTGGTTTCAGAATAATGAGCTGGGAGAAATTAGAAGGCTTGTTCAACTACAAAGATGACACAAATATTGATTAAAATGATGCGATCAAGTTAGTTCCAAAACTTATATCTTATTCAAACAGTGTTAGCAAATGTTACCAGTGTTAAAATACTTTCCCTGCATTTTAACAACTATTGCAAAATACTTCTTTTTAAATGAGTAAATTAAATACTTCAAAATCTGACTACTTTCTGGCTGTAGGCTATAATCTCTGATGCCTAGAAACCGACAGTAAAAATACAAAATTTAGTATTTTTGTATGACTTCACAAATACGACTTTTTCAAAGCCAAATTAAATGACAAATATAAAAAATGTGAATATAAATTAAACAAATGATAAAACCTTGAGCAAAGTTGTGCTGTTAGGCATACAACTGAGGGACTGAATTTTTTTCAAAGTAACTGTATGAGCCAGAGAATTTTAATTTCCATTGAAGTTTAATATGTGAAAAAAACAGAAGCTGCTGTAAGTATTCAGGGATTATTTAAACACTGGTGTATTTTTCTACTGTTTTTTAGGTTGAGCTTATTGTCAAGTTGAGTTGAACTAGGCGCTTTATGCAGAGGTTTCCAAAGGCTTGCTCGCACAGGGGTATTCGACAGTAGGCCATTGGAAGGGGTGGGGCAGGTAAAACTTGTCATCTGCAGTGTGGCACAGAATGAAATGCCTGTTGTGAGACACATGCAAAATTTTGTGTGTCATGCTCTGACAGCCAGTCTGGCATTTGTTACTTCTTGGTAGCTCATAGAGTTTCAGTGTTACTTAACTTGGTTGTATTTAATTTCTTTTTTTAAGAAATGTGATGTGTGCATCCTAACCATTTATAAGACCTTGCAAATACCTACTTTTATAAACTTTAAAGAAACTTCTTATTTTGTAGAATTGAACAAATCCCGGGAAAGGGTCGAGAAGTGGAATGTTGACCATTCAAAGAGTGACAGGATGGTTAGAGAACTTCGAGCTCAAGTTGATGATCTGACAGAAGCTGTTGGTGCCAAGGATTCACAGCTAGCTGTGCTGAAAGTACGGTTGCAGGAAGCTGATCAGCTCTTAAGTGCTCGGACAGAAGCTTTGGAAGCATTGCAGAGTGAAAAATCACGGTACTTCATAATTTCATACTTCATAATCCTGAAAATAGTAATAAGTTCGGAAATTCAAGGTAGATAATTTAGTTTTTAAGAATAAAAATGAATAAACTAGTGGGGAAAGGGATTTTATCAAGATATGAAATATGAGGATTAAAGTTTGCACTGAGCCTGCTATATCATAGCTCACAGAGCAAATGAGTATTAAATAGGCTCAATTGTCGCCTAATTATTGAAATCCATTTTGTATAAAGTATTTATGTTTGTCTCAGAGGCCTGAAGCTGAAGATCTCAAGAAAAATGCTTTTGTCTTGAGAAACACATTTGCTTATTCACAAACATGAAGACTTTTCTGACTTACGTCAGCGCTGGGATATGAATTGGCAATTGGATACTCCAGAATATAGGTCAGGGAGGAGATGTGTGAATCATTAACACCAGGCCTCACACCTGTAGCCAGCCATATTCAATAATTTACTGGGTAGATTTTCAAAGCTGGCCTGAAAACCAGGTAGTTGTATTTCTACCTGAAAATCACACTAGATTTCTTCTTTTTCAATTAATATGTATATTGCTTTTTCAGGATAATACAGGACCACAGTGAAGGGAGCAGTTTGCAAAATCAAGCCCTTCAAACTCTTCAGGAGAGGCTGCGTGATGCAGACTCCGCACTCAAGCGAGAGCAAGAAAGTTACAAACAAATGCAGGTTAGACATGGAGAGTCAGGAAGAATTTCAGACTCTACTTTTGAGGTGAAATCTGTGAGGTTACAACTGCTCTCTCTTCCCCTTGACTTCAGTTCCTGGACAGGGTACTAAGTGCTTGGAAGGATGTGCTGTCTGCTGCACTAAGTATCCTTGTCATGCTGGTTTGCTTTTTATATGTTATTTTGAAAGCTTTGTTATTAAAAGTTTTTGAGGACTAATGCTGATAATTTTTGCTGGGTTTTTTTCGTGCTAACTTTAATGTTAAAACATGTTTTAAAACTGAATCAGTAATCAATTTAATTTTCCATTCTATGTTGTTACACAACAAATTGTTACACAATTTTAATATGTAATCTTAAGATTATTAATCTGGACGATCACTTCTATGGTAAAGATGTGAGTACATCATTGCTGGAGACTGCGTTCCACGTTTAGCTTGGCCTTTGTTACGTGTAATAGCATCTTTGAAAATATTTATCAGTGTCTGGTTTTTTGTTGTTGTTGGTTTTTTTAAGTACATCAAAATATGGCAGACTACATTTGATAATATTTTATGAGGGGAAGGCTTGCTTTTTGTTTACCAAATAAACTTAAATAATAGGAAGATTGTTATTCTCTCACTATTTCTGGTGAAGGAAAGAAATGCATATTTTTACTGATATTATTTAGCACTTGCTTAAGCAAGCAGGATTTCTTTCCGCACAGCACTAATGCGTCTTTAAGTTGGAGGTGGTAGATATGAGGTATTGTGTCATGTGTAGTTGCTTTTAAACTTCTTTTTTCCTTTCTAGGATAAAGTTGAGACTGTGTTTAAACACAAAGTATTGTTTCTTTATTGCTAATAGAATGAGTTTGCAGCTCGTCTAAGTAAAATGGAAACAGAACGTCAGAACTTGGCAGAAGGGATAACTGTAGCGGAAAGAAAGTATTTGGATGAAAAGAGGCGAGCTGATGAGCTTCAGCAGCAAGTCAAACTAACTAAAAACCACCTAGAATCTGCAAAACAGGAACTGACAGACTATAAACAGAAAGCTACTCGCATACTCCAAGTAAGCATTTCTGTAAAGAAATCCAATTTGATTTGTACACTTAACTTTTTTAAGGTGTTGTGCTTCAAATAATCTAATTCATGGGTTTTTTCATGTGACCTGTAATATATTTTGGAGCATATCTATAATGATAGATATACAGAACAGCTACCAGTCTGCATTTTGTAAATTTAAGTTTACAGATTGAGTAATTGAAATGGAATTTCAGGTCCTGAACTTAAATTAAAATCCGAGTGAACCATTGCACTTATTGTGCAACATCTGTCGGTGTGTTCCGCATTCAAGAGTCCAATCTTAGGCAGAGAGATAAATAGATGTAACCTATAATTTGTTCCACACCCAGTATTCTGGAGTCAAGAATATTGCTCTATTCTGCTTGAGGCTGAAGCATAGCATATAATGGATACTTATGTGTAAACCAAAGAAAATATTTTTTATATTCTGAAAGGTTGAATGTGATCAGCGTTATGTAAACAATGGCAAAATTAGGTATTTTGTGCAGAGTTGCTACTTAAGTTGTCAAAGATAGCAAATCCAAATGTGGTCAATTTGAGTCTTGTTTATAAAAGTTAGCAAAATGTTGAAGATAAAGGTGTCTGTTTAGAATAATTAATTTAGACTGATATCCAAGGACAGTTTTAAATCATCTTGATAAATACGAGAAGCATGAGATCAGAAGTCAATGTCAAGCTAACATTAGGTTGACTCTGAATAAAATGGTTCATCCTCTTTTCCAGAGTAGTTATTGCTGTATTTGCTCTTATTTGGCTTTGTTGGCAGGAGAAAGAGTGGACTGAAAGGGGGTCAGTTTTGTCTTTTGACTCTTAGTGTCTTCTTTCTTATGGTAGCTGGAAAGCCAAAATTGTTATCCATGACATGGTTAACATTCCAGGCACTTCTAAAGAGAAGAGCTGTACTCTTCCTCAGATAACACAGGCTTTCAGTAAATCCAGTCTCATGGCATACAGGAAGTCAGAAAAAGTATCAGTAGGGAAGCATTTTCATTTTAAAATGTGTAGGGTCATTATTAACTTGGCTAAAAGAACAGATAAAGCAGGTCTTTTACTGTATACCTACATTTGAATTTTAGAGCAAAGTCATTTTGGCATATTCTAGTTGAGCACTTGTTCAATACTGCAGTAAATAATATATTGATTTATTATTTCAGTCTAAAGAAAAGTTGATAAACAGCTTAAAAGAAGGCTCTGGTATTGAAGGCCTGGATAGCAATACTGCAAGCACAATGGAACTAGAAGAACTGAGACATGAGCGAGACACTCAGAGGGAAGAAATACAAAAACTAATGGGGCAGATACAACAGATGAGAACAGAGCTGCAGGTAGCTGTGATTACCTACATGTGTATTTGTGGTTAACCATGCACAAAGGACTGCTTTCTTGTATACTTTAGGGCTGTTCCTTCTAGTGTTTATTTGACCTAGTATTAAAATAAGCCAACTTTTGCTCAAGGTGAGACAAGTGCTTACTGATACCCAATTACTTTCCATGTTATCTCTCACCGCTTCAGGTCATGTGGGAGGAATATTACAGATACCACTTCTCTCACTACTGTGTGCTCCTTTTGAGGGAAGCATTTCTTTCCAAACAAGCGTGGTGATTTCTGTAGAGATCACCTATATCCTTTTCTGCAAGGGCTATTAATCCTTGAAGCAACTGTAATCCGAGTTGTCTGCTGCCAGAATTGGCTTAACCCAGCAGTTGCACGCAAGCCTACTTTACAGTTTTAGCCTGTAGACAGCAGAAGGGAAAACATGGAGGCTTTTCATGTTCACGAAATGCATTTATTTTTTTACTGTATTAGTAAAAATATTCTGTATAAAATGACCAGATATCATTTATTCAATACACTCTCACCTTCATTTTCCTTTGAAGCAATATTGCTGATACAACTTTTTTTTTGCTGTTACCTGTGACAGATTGCAGTATTGTTTGAATGTTAGCAAAATGGTAACATTTCTGTTCATTTCAGGATATGGAGACTCAGCAGGTAAGTGAAGCTGAGTCAGTGAGAGAGCAGCTTCAAGACCTACAAGAGCAAATAGCAGCGCATAAAATGGCCAAGCAGGAGTCAGAAGCTGAACTAGAACGGCAAAAACAGGTAAGGAATTCTCAAAAGCTGATTGGTCTTATTTTAGGCCTCGTGTGTTGTCATCAGTAAAGCATTTGGCTTAACGAGAGAGTAGTATTTGGGTTATTTTTTGTCTAGTATTCAAAAAAAATCCCCAAAAGCTTAATGAATGTCACTAGGCCAAACAAAGCACAACCAGTACTAAGCAGTGGACAGGGCCTTCTGGATACTCCTGATAAACAGAGATCTCGCTGATGTGTTAAAGAATAAACGTGACCCTGGGGAGTGCATGAAGTTGATCATGATCTTAAATTTTATTCAGCAGGGGAACAATCAAACAATAGGGATATAGTAACATTTGTAACCGTTATTTATATCAAGAAACTCAAATACTAAAAATCGTTACTGTGGAACTTCCTGTGCTCAATTACTACATAAGATTTAGCTTGTAAAACAATGTTATTGTAGTACCAATTCATAGATACTTTTTAAATCCACTTTTTACGCAGTTCTGAATTTAAATGTTGTTACTTCCAAACTGCTCTATAAGAAAAATCGCTGATAATTATATTAATGAATTTTGGTAGATTGTGTCATCTTTTTAAGCAAACTCCCCCTGGATTTCAGCAGTTTTGTGCTAAAAAAGAGGGGGGGAAAAAAGGCAGACTCATATTTCATGTGAACAAACTTATTATTCAGTAGAAATCAGACAAATGCTTTACACCCTATTAAAAAATTTCTCTGTAGAAAAAGCTCATGTACAGAGAATTAATAATGAGGAAAGCAGGAGAGTACACTGTATCTGCTAGGAACAATTTATCTTACAGGATTATCTGTCCTTCCAGAAATTACATTTTAATGAGATGCTAGCAGCTTGAACTAATTAAAAGGCAGAAGTCGAGGTCTGCTCTTGATGGATAGCTGATGTTTATTATATCAAAGCAGATGGTAGATTGTATTTTGTTACTCCTGTCCTTCTGAGGGGTATATTTTAAGTCAATACTACATATAGAAAAAATGAGGTGAATTAAAAAAAAAAAAAAAGACATCAGTTATTACAGAAACTGAAGTATTCCTTTTGATGCTGCACATTTACATGTGCTTTTAAAGTAATTGTGTGCATAGATACTTAATACAATTATGGTCTGTTCTATCTGGGAATTCCTTTAACTATTACCATAAGGTTTCTGAGACTGAAGATGGGAAATAAGTAGAGGTGTTATTTCTTGTACATCTGATTGTTTGAAGGGAGAATACGATTATCTGTTTTCTGTAGCAACTGACATCTGAAGTGATACAGTGATTTGAAGACTGTCTTAATTTAAAAGATAAGCATGACAGATCTTTAAGTCGTAGTTAAAATAGCCACTAAATTATGGAAGTAACAAAACTTGTGGTTAGATTTGCTGTTCAGTAAGTCATCCCTTACTAATATTCCTCCCCTTTCATGTCTGTTATGTTAATTTATCCTAAACTTTAAAGGAAGATCTGTGTCATACAGAATTATAGATGGATATGCCAAGGGGTTTTAAACACTTTTAAAAAAAGGTATCTCAAATTGATAGGTTTATTTTAGGAACACAGATTCCCCCCAAAGTATTCCTAGTTGTTTAAGTTACATTATTGACATCATTTCAAGATAGCGATATAATACAAGGTGAGAATATAAGGAAGATAAATCATGGTCCCAATGAAATTGTGTGACTCTTAGTAGACTAGTCTGGATTAATATTTATCTTAGATCAGTCTCTACAAAAGAATTTGATAAGTCTTGTAGATTGTGTCTTCGTACTCAGCTCTCTTCCCCTCCCACCCCCATTTTAGCCAGACACTTAACTAAGGTTAAATTTCAGTTTATCTTTGATTGCAGCATATTGCCTTCTTGTGTTCTGCTGTGAAACTCTAGATAAGAGAATGCATACATGTATAAAATCTTTTATTTGTGATTGTGATACATTTTATAGGAACTCCGTTATACCGAAGAAGAATTGTATCGAACAAAGAATACTTTGCAAAGCAGAATAAAAGACAGAGAGGAAGAAATTCAGAAGCTCAGAAATCAGGTACTGTGTGTGTATAGAAAATAACTTTATCACCTTCAGTTATGAAAGCAGTGATGAGAACTATTACTTTGATTAAACTATACAAAAGAAACATAAAGGCTCTACTAATGAGTTACAGTGTACTTGTTTTCAATACAGAGTAGAGTTTTTTGAGTGGAGGGAGTACAAGAAGGGAACCGTGAAGTAGTAAATAACCAGATTTATAATTGCATGTGCTTTTGTCTTTGGGAGAGGTGGGGGGGAAGTGAACCTGTGTCCCAGCTAGACCTGATGGGGTGGTGCTGGATCAACATTTTTCTTTTTGAAAACTAAAAAAAGTCATTGGCGCTTGATTAGGTCATCATGATTTCTGCAAAGATCCTTTTAACTGGGCATGAGAACATAAGTAACGTCCTACAGACTCAGTGATCCATCCAGCCCGCTGTTCTATCTTGGACAGTGCCAATGGGGCCAGCATGCGAGCCTGGCCACTTTCTTCACTCCCTTGTACTTGTTCAGCATCATCAGCAGTTGAATTAGGGACGTTAGTGTTTAAGTCCCGACTGTGGACCTATTTTCCTTGAACCAATCTAATCCCTTTTGGAACCTTCTGATATTTGTCAGCCCCCACAGTCTCCTTGGGCAGCATGAAGGCATGGGCCTCATTTTGTGTAAATTATCTTAGCATAATAAAAAGTGGTCTATAAGTAGAGAAATTGATAGTCTATAGTCAGCTATGGTCAGCTGTGCAGTTACAGTGTCAGAGGATTTGGAAGTTTTTGTATTGTGATACAAATTTCTTGAGCCTGTTGGCAGGTGATTCTTCTAGTAATACTGGCTTCAGGACTACCTGCACCTGCCCTGGTCCGTTGCATCCAGTTTGCATTTTTGATATCTCGCTGCCTTTGATTCTGTTTTTTCATCATTGAAGCTACATCTTTATGGTATATGATGCTACAAGTGGCTGAGGTCTAAGACTGTAGGGAATAGACAAGCTATTGCACATGTTGCTAATTGGAGATTCCCATTTGCTTTAAATATTTTTTGCAAATGGAATTACATGATCCATGTTTTCATTTGTTGTTCTTGCAGTTTCTATTTGCTAGTACAATTGTGTTTTCTGCCTCAGTGCTCCTCAATTTTTCTGCAACGTATCCTGCATTTTCACCATTTTCATTCAAGCTTTCCTGTAGAATGGCATCAGATTCTCCCTGTTTGTACTGAGTTTTTCCTTCCTCACTTGAAAACATTTTAAGTACTGACTTGTTTTGTGAAGTTGCAAGTATGGTAGCCTAACTGCATTATCTTGCTGTTGTCATGCCTACCATTTAAACTCATCTCTGAGGCATAGCGTTGATTTTTGGGATCAAACTTAAAATTATACAGAAATATTCATATGATTAGAGGAGGAAAATGTAAGAATACATTTTTACATAGAGTTTCTTCTGTCATGTAAAATCTTGTTTTAGCAACTGTTGAAATTATCTTCTTTATTGTGCTCATTGGTAGTCATTTTGATAGTATTATCCTGTAAAAATTCTGCGATGGGGTAAATTAGTTCTTGGAGGGCTTATATTTTTAGAGTTTTGTAATATGTAAGTTGGTCAGACTTTGAACTTATTCTGATTTTTTTTCTTTGCTTTGTTTTTTAGCTCACAAACAAGGCTCTAAGTAGTAGTAGTCAGACAGAATTAGAAAATCGGCTTCATCAGCTGACAGAAACACTAATTCAGAAGCAAACCATGTTAGAGAGCCTGAGCACAGAGAAAAACTCACTTGTCTATCAACTGGAACGACTTGAGCAACAGCTGAAGGCAATCCAAGGCACTAGTACTAACGGACCTTCCATTAATATGGCAGGCATTGATGGTGCTGAAGGTAAATAAGGAAATATAATACTTAAGCTCTGTCCTTTCGGCAGTTCAGGCTTTTATATTTCCTAATGCATTTCCCTGAAAGTCTGAGTTATGTAAAGAAAAAAAAGATGCTGAAAATACGCAGCAGCCAGTATCATAAAAAGTAGTTAAGTAGAAGCTCCTTTTTGTGTGTAAATGACTTCAAGTAAACTTAATAAAGCCAATTTCGTCTTTAGTTCTCAGTACTGTGGCACTATTGGAACAATTGTATTTACAAATCCTGTCACAGGTGCAAATAAATCTCTTTTGGGGTTTAAACCGAATGTCAGAAGCAGGATATAAGTATTCTATTTTAAAAAGGGTTTGGGAGGTGAGCAAGAATGGAATGCTTCCTTTTGAGAGCTGATCAGAATTCTGGTTGAAATCAATTTCCTCCTTGCTTTCTGTTTTCCTTGAAAAGCAGCTTAAAATTGGTGGTTCTGCTGAGGTTGGTTTGTCTGTACTGTGTAGCGATCATCCTGTGTCTCTAGGAGAACCTCAGCAGTTGATCCATGGTTTTGAGATATTACTTTTCAAAGTCAGAGTTTGTAATTTTGTATATACGGTCGGTAACTTTAAAAGCAATGGACAGTTACTAAGGTGTAAAATGACAATCTAGACTTTTGTTTCTCTGCTTATGAAAGACTTTTAAAGAAATAAGGCAGGAGAACTAGCAAATTTGAAATATATTTCCTTTTGGCTTGTTTTTAAGTAACTTCAGTAAGCTTAAGTTTAGTTGCACAAAGGCAAGATTATCTGAGAATCTTTTCTTTTAATGAAGTTGATACATAGTAAAAATGTAAATAAAGTAGAAATTTTCGGAATATACAAGTTGGTATCAGAAATGCTATTGAAGTTTCACTGTAAAGCAAATGGAGAAACTGTGACAGTATCAAACCCATCATTTTATACACCTGGTAATAGAATTATTATTACATGATAGAATTGAGTATCAAGATGTCCATCTAGTGAACTAAAATAAATTTGAAAAATATGCTAAGCTGAAGAAACATTTGCCTTGATTGTAAGTTAATTAAGAATTCTGCCCTCAAAACACAGTCCTCTGCCCCCAGCAAAACGGCACTAACAAATCAGATTAATCAGTATTTTTATATTACTTTTATATATCTTTGTTATACAGTATAGATTTTTTTTTTACTTAAACAACAACTTAGCTGGCTTTAGACTAATGAGATTTTTCGCTTTTTTCCCTTCAAATAGGTGCTCGTATGCGTAATGTTCCTGTGCTGTTTAGTGACATGGATACTAACATGGCAGGAATGTATGGGAGAGTTCGCAAAGCTGCTAGCAGTATAGATCAGTTTAGGTAAGAGTGTCTTAAGGGAATACATTTTGTAATTGCTGGAATCCTTTTGCAGTTTTCAAGTGGCACACCTTCTGTTTTGAATTGCTTCTGTGAAGGTAAAAGTAAAAAGCAATGAACCTAAACTGTGGTATAAATTACTAAATATTGCCCCTAGTTCACTTGTGCTTTCCTATGATATCAATATCCTTGGGCTTTTGCAAATTACAGTCAATTATTTAAATACTGCTCTTGTAGATTGTGGTACAAGAGAATCACTAACTATTTACAAAACACCCTAACCTTTTTCATTACCATCTTCTACCTTTTTCACTTTCAGAGGTTTTGACTGTGTTTGTGATAAACGCTGTAAGAGTGTATTAGTGGGGGAGTATCATATGTATGCTTTCACTCCTGTTTAGGCATGCTGATGAAGACAAGATTCTGGGTTCTGACCCAGTGCATTATTGAAAGATAATCTGTTTGAGGAATTAGTAAACAAAAATCATTCTGGATCCAGCAAAAGATTTGCTTTGCTCCCTTTTCTGAGCAGTTAGGTTAATTGTCAATATTCACAACAAAGGTCTGCTCCAAAACTTGAATGAAATACCAATAGAAAACAAAATTAGGTAATACTTATTAATGCTTTGAAAGCAAGATACCTTGATAGAAAGTCCTTCATGCTTCCATGGTACTTTAATTTCGTTGTGAAGAGTATCAGGATTTCCATGATTGGGACCTATTATATGTGATGTTTTAATACTAAACTTCATTTGGCAGTATCATACTCACTTCAGGACACACATGGGGTTTTTTAACTGATGTTACTGAGCACACATCTAATGCAGTATGCTTTGTAGCACTGTAGCAGTAAACTTGGAAAACCCATGTCTTTTTCATCTAATGAAATACAAGCATGGTACTGATCTATCAGTTTTTTCAAAGGAGTCCAAGGTTTCAGTTGCTTAAATGTTTTTGAAAGATTCATGAGAGCTCCTCAAGTAACAAAATTCAACAAATAGCATATTTGTGAGTTTTAAAATCCCTGTACAACTCTTGAGTCTTAGCTCTTTTTCACAAAATCTGAGTGTAGCATGGAACAGAGAAACTGTTTCTCTGAAACAGAGAATATGTTTTATAGTCTGAATTCTGAATTTTCTCATTCCATTTAATGTCGTGAATACATGAAGTAAAATTCAAGTCAGAAACAAAGCCACGTGTATAACATCATCTGACATTTATGACTTTGTGGTGATTGGAATGAGAGGAACAGGAATTTATTGCTCCATGCTAACTTGGGCATTTTGTTTTTCTCTTGTACTTCCGTAGCATTCGGCTGGGAATCTTTCTAAGGCGGTATCCCATAGCAAGAGTCTTTGTAATCATTTACATGGTGAGTAAGCTTTCTTTAAAATAAGAAGTTTAATGCAAGGTTTATATAGCCAGTTTATATAATACTTCTTAAATTGCAAGATGTTTGATGTGCAGAAGGGTCTATAATTAACAACTCAATGTATTTTTTTGTAAAGCAGACTAAATAGTAACTTACATAACAGTGTTTTGAAGTCATGTTCCTTGGCAGTTCTCAGTTTTTCTCAGGAATTCTCAGTATAGCATCTTAAAGATGTTTATGTAACTACCATTTAAAAGACTGGAAAAGTAGAGTTTTAGTACTAAAATACAGCAGAATAGTGACCTGTTGCCAAAGTTAACCCACCACACCTGCGTGCACTGCATTTAGGAAAATGACATCTGTTACAGCTTTTTTAATATTTGGCACTTCACTTTTTGTTCAGTGATGAATGATCACACTTCTCTAGTAGCTGAAAAGCAGCAAGGAAAGTTTTTCTTGCTAGACTTAAACAAACAGTAGAAAGTTGCTTATCCATACCAGGTGAGATTGTCAGACTTGCAATTGATAAAAATTAAATTCCTCCGTTTTCCACTGGAGGGCAGATGTCTGTCAGTTTAAGTGACCTGTGGTAAGGTAGGTGTGCCGTCTGCCCTGCTTCAAAATATTCCACTAGTTGAGCCTTTGAGTCTTCAAAATGAAAAAAACCCGCTGCTTGAGAAGGCATAATGATTCTTCTGAACAGAGTTTCTGAGAACAGCTGTCATTATTTCAGGATATAAAGCAGACAGACACACATGAATAAAGGAAATTACAGTTTCCCCCTGCAATTGCTTCTTCCAGCCTATTAGGTACTGGAAGGAACAGGGCTGTTTAATTCCTAACCTCTCTCTCTTCCTGTTCATGACTTAGACTTATCAGTATGATAAGTATGAATAAAATGCTTTGTACCAAAACACTGAGGACTTCTACCACCTAAGCTGGTATCTGAAGTGAAACTCAATGACTGTTGCATAGAAGCTGTGTATTGGGCAGTCAGTGGCAGTTACCCTTTTCCAGCTTGAGCCTTGACTATGACTATTGCAACTTTAATTTTATTTTTTTTAAGGAAATGTGACTTCTGTCAGTTATCTCCCTTGTTGCACCCCCAGCAACTTCTATTCTAATTGGATAGTTTAAGCCAAATTTGAATGAGAATTAACATTCCTAAGAAGTTCATAAAAATGCCTTAAATCAGTGCCTGTGGTAGTAAGGAAAGCAGGACTCAGCTGTTTGACACAGTCTGGTATCAACCAGTTGGTATAGGAGTAGGGGCTTACCAGTCACTCAAGGCAGATCACATAATGTACTGGCTGGGGGCTGGATATCCGAGAGAACAGCTGGAGGTACTGGGGCATGGGGGGGAATTATAAAGCTGTAAGAATCCAGGCTGCTTTATTTTGCTGTTTGTGTAAAATCTTTAGTTTTCTGCAAATGGCTTCTTCAGAATCTGACTCAGCGTTTCATTGAGCAAGTAAGAATTTTTTTTTTTTTTAGGAGTATCTGAATAATATGAAAAATTTTAATCAAAATATTTCTACAGAACTAGGTTTTATTAGCTCTACTTGAGAGCTGTCATATTTATTGCTGCTGTGAATGATGATTGTCAGTGCTGATAAGTTAATTCTTTCTTTTCTTTTCCCAGGCGTTGCTTCATCTCTGGGTCATGATTGTTCTACTTACCTACACCCCAGAGATGCATCATGACAGTCCCAGCGGCAGATAGACCGAGACAGGACCATATGCTGTGCTAATGTAATTTGGACTGGCAGTGTCTTTAGAATAATCAGTCGTGAAGTATCAGCAAACTTTTCCTCATGGTTTTCAGGAAGAATGAAAACCATCATGCCTGATCTGTCACTACTTTTTCAAATACATGTGTAATACTATGTAGCTTTTTCAATTTACCTAAAGGAGTGTCATTTTCCTGGAGAAATAAAGCTATTAAGTTAAGCTATGGTTAGCCTTTACATCTTATATAGACTTTCTGGTGGTTAGTGTAAAAGATAAGGGTTGCACCTACAGAGAAATGCAAGGATTTCTGAAATTCCAGCTATATATGATATAAACTATTTTAGATCATAATGGATGTGGGCTATGGTCAGGTAATAAACTGTACTTAGCAATTTAAATAAACTATTCTTTCTGGTTTCTTTCAGTCTGCTTTTGCACTTCTGTTTTTAACTTTGTAAATAGTAGGCTTTTCCTTAACATGTTAAACTGAAAAAAGGACAATGGATTGGTGCAATATCTTTTTGTAAATAAGTTTAAAAATAAAATATTATGCATTCTTCTTAGCTTTGTACTTCTAGTGCAATTGATGTATCTTCTCTACCAGCTGAATGGTGGCACTGCCTATTTAAAGGCTGGTATTTTAGCTTTATTATAGAAAGAGAGAGATGATTTTGAGAAAGAAGGTTCAATTTAGAAATAATGGTGTTTCTTTTTGCACTTGAAATTTATATATTTTAACTGCATTTTCTTATACTTCTCTCATTATTGTGTGTCTTAATCATATCTTATATTCATTGAAATATTTATTTTCTAAAGCTTTGGGTACTTCAAACTATTTCTATACAAAATCTATCGAAACATCAAAAATTTCTCATGTCAAAACACCAAATATAATAATAGACAAAGCTTATGAAATATTTATCGTAAACCCCATAGTACCAAACCAAACCTACTGTAATAGTATCATTAGACTGTGGCATTCTGTAATTATGAATTCTCAATACATAATAATAGAAGGTCACTTTCCCTAAGAAATTTCTTGTTTTCTCGTGTGGTGCTCCAAACTGAGTAATGAAAGGATGACTACAAGCGATTTGTCACTCCTGCTCTTAAGCATACAGTTCAGTTTTCACATGACTTGAACACACTAAGCGTTAGTTCTGTGCACGAGGTCTGTCATACTGACTCCTATGGAAATGTTACAGTAGACAAATGACTGTATTGCTGCTCTGATTCAGATCTTGCAGAGAAAACTGAAATGTTTTGATGAACTAAATAATAAAAGAGAGCATTTACCGTAAGCTGTGTCCCTGCCCTCTGTCACATTTGCTGCACTTTGCCTAATTCCTGTTGCCTGTTACCTTTTCAATTCTGATTTTAAAGCCACTTTTGAACCCTGGGGAGAGCTGATTGCTGTAGAAGGAGATCAGGCAAAGTCCTTTGTGCAATCTTTTCCTATACATGTGCCTTTTTTTTTTTTTTCTTTATTTAAAACCTCCAAACCACTCAATCTTTGGATATTCCAGTATACTGTGACAATTTAGGGGGAACATTCTTAGTGGTATAAATTCCTTACAGCTTTGCTGACATCACATGACTTTTTTTTTAGATATCACCTCTTGAAATCCACGCAAAGTCCTTTGTGCAATCTTTTCCTATACATGTGCCTTTTTTTTTTTTTTCTTTATTTAAAACCTCCAAACCACTCAATCTTTGGATATTCCAGTATACTGTGACAATTTAGGGGGAACATTCTTAGTGGTATAAATTCCTTACAGCTTTGCTGACATCACATGACTTTTTTTTTAGATATCACCTCTTGAAATCCCCTGAATTTTTTTTTTTTTTTTTGGTAACTTACTAAAGCCACTACAGTGCTTCTAGAACACTTTATCATAGATTAGTAGTATTTTCTTCAGTTCTTCCGGATTTTATGCTAGAAATTTTACAGGGGTAAGCACTGAAAGA